CCCCCACGCCTCTGCACTCCCTGCAAAACACACCTGGGCCCTTGCCCTCCCCGCTGCATTTTGCCGTTAATTAAAGGAGGGCACCGCAGCTGCCTGCCTTCTCCTTTAAGTCAGATATTCGCACAGGTCAAACATGTTGTCTCGCAGAGAGACTTTCTCCTTTCAGAAATGCGTTTACCACCCGTTAAGCAGTCGGGCCCACTCCTCACCGCTGACCGAGGCCTGGCTGCATTTTCCACTCAGTGGCATGTCGCACGCCCCCCTCCGCAGAGGGGAAAGGGCCCGAAGCGGGGCGAGGCCGCTCCCCGTAGCGCGCGTGCACGCTACACGTGCAGCACAAACACCGCCTGCACGCCGAAGCCTCCATGAACAGCCGGAGGGTACCTCCCGTCGTCTGACGAGGCAGTAATTTCTGGGCTGCAAACACGGGGGTTCACCCCTCGCTGGCCATATTGCCTGGCAGACTACTAAGCAGCATCAGCTTCCTCGCTTGTTCGGTGTGTTAACTGCAACAGAACCGTATTCAGTTACTGTGCAAGAACAAAGTTAACTTCATCTGATCAAAGAGCTCCTTTTCTGTTTTTTTTCAGTTGTTTTTTTCCTCCCCCATGCAGCATCTGACTTCTTGTTTTTCAGTATGTTATGCAGAACACAGACCCCAGAAAGCAGGGAAGGGGTATGAAGCAGGCACTGTTGCACAGCACCGTTTTGACACCAAAGGCCACATCCTCGCCAATACACAACATTTAAGCCAGGAGCGGGCAGAGCCTTCCCCGGCACGGCAGCTGCAGCAAGCGCTTTCTCACTAGAGCTGGCTGGGGAAAAAAAAAAGTTTCTGGTTCATGGAAGAAGTTGTTTTCTTGAAATTTCCCCTGACCAGAAGCTACCTTGACCCTGCAGCTGCTCAGTGGGATGGATGCCTTTGTCAGCGGGGAGAGGAAAAATGTCCTTATTCTAAGAGCAGCTGCAGGGGAGCTTTGCCCAGAGGCCAGCCCAGCCACAGGCTCCCGGCGCGATGGGAGCCCTCCGGCGAAGTCCGTGGAGGGGAGCACCCTGCAGCATGCCTACCCCCAGCACAGACCTCTGCAGGGAGCCCAGGGTGGCAATCCCTCCCAGTCTACTTGGCTGCAGTTTACTCAAGGCTCCATCGATTCATTCTTGTGTCCAAAAGAAAAAAAAAAGGGGCGGGGGGCGGAAAAAGAAAAATTAGCCCAATCACTCTGCATTTTCTATGAAACTTCTGACCGACTCCAGTCCTCAGAGCTAAGTGCCATGGACTAGAGCAAATGAGGCAAGCGCTCCTGTGCGTCTTCCTATCCCCTTGGCAGCCCAGGCAAGCAACCAGACAGCTAGGGGCTGCTTTCGGCCCCTGGCTCTCCCCAGTGATCCCCTGGGACCCCCGGCTGCACCCTGCACACATGCTGCCTTTCAGCACTGGCAGCCACCGC